TGTCCCGCACGTGCTATTCCATGTCCATTGCATGGGTGAAGGACACAACATGATATCAAGGCGCTCCTGTGCAGCCCTGACCAAGTGTGCACAATCAACTCTTGCACGTGTTACCCCAGCATGCAGCATCATGCTGCAAAACCCATGGTGTCTCAAAACACCGTATAGCAACCCGAAAGGTCACTCGCAACAGCTCAGGAGGTTTCAGCATAAGCCTCAAAAAGGCAGAAGTGCAAAGTCAAAAAGGTAGAGGAAGTACTGCTACATGAAGCAGAAGAATCCTTCAAAAAACTCTTCAAGTCAGCCTAGCTGGAATAGACAACAAAACTATACTATAGTGTTGACAGGTAGCTTTCTTAGCCTTCTCTCGGGCAATGTGTTGCTCGCAACCGTCTTGAATCGCTTGCTTGTATGCACGGTGGTATGCTGCACTGCGGCGGCTTAGCTTTGCTTTGGCCGCTTTCTTGCGTTCATCCACCTTTGCCTCTGCAGTGTTCACTGCATGTGCAGGCTCCTTTGCTGTCTCTTCTTTTTTGCTAGTCTTTGCTGCTTTGCCTGCTTCGTTTTAAGGAGTCTCCCCACTCTTTGCTGCCCTCTTAGTGCGTGGCTTGGACTTGGCTTTGGCATCCAAAGCCTTTTCAACAGGAGTGCTGTCAGCCTTCCTCACGCGACGTCGCTTTCCTGCGCTCTCTGAGTCAGGCTTGTTATTTCCTTCTTTCAAAGATGGCTTTGGTGAATCCTTCAGCTCAGGCATTATCTCACTCTCAACCTTCCTGTTTGACCTTCCTCTAGTCCGTTTTGCCCCTCCCTCCTCAGTGTTTTTTCCTGCTGTCTCAGCTGCTGTGCGCTTTGACCTCCTCCCACGTGCAGGCTTGGGTTCAGGAGCTTCTTGCTGTGCGAAATCCTCTGCCTTTGTTTTTTTGGCCTTTCCCTTTGGTCTCCCAGGCTTGCCAGTGCCTTTAGTCGATGCTGCTTGCTCTTGGGGAGACACTGGCTTGATGGAATCCAAGAAGTCTGGACGTTCTACAGTAGGTTCAGCTGGCACAGGCTCCTCTACGATAGGTGCTACCACAGGCTTC